TACGGACTATCATAAGGAAAATATGGCAATTGAAGTTAGGTAATTAATGGGTACGTTGTAAATAATAATGTTATCGCAAGTTCTTGTAAGACCAAAGGAAGTCGTACTATTAAAATTTTATAAATTTAATTGTTAATTATTATACATTACGCATTCGCAGTCACGTAGGTAGATATTTACCTATATTATATAGGCCAGTAAGTTTGATAAAAGGAATATATAAAACCTAATAAATAAAGACGAAGTCTCGAAACATATGTAAGTGTAGATATGATTTTAGAATAGCTACATCAAAATATCTACAAACAAATAAAATTTCTATTTGTGTGTATCAACTTACGAAAATTATCTAATCAAATAATTTTAAGTTCAAAAATAAACTAATAATCACATACACATAACTACACATCTTACGCTCTGAAGAAGAAGGATATAGTATCTGGTGTAATTATTAATGTTGCTCAAAATTTCCTCCTTTTTTCTCACATTCTTTCCACTAATAATTTGACAAAACGCTAAAAATATAGAGGTTCTTACCCCACGTTATCAAATAGCGGTATTTGCGTACGCCCGCATAACAAGCACCGTAACCCATGGATATAAAGATCTGACATCGTCTCTGCCCTACATACCTGTGTGCTAATCAACTTCACTACTTTAATTATATCGATCATTTGTATATATAGAAGAACTAGGGTTCAACAGGGAACAACTCTGTGTGATCCACAAATTGTTGTTTCGGGTCTAAGTGTCATTTGTGTGCGAACTTGTATGTTTTTAAATGTCTAAAAAGATAGCGTTTTTTGAAGAACAATTGTTACCTTTAAACTGTATCTACCTACTTGGTTACTCTTTTGGTATTAAGGTGTTCAAGGACTTTATGAAACAATGGACAGGACAACCAAGAACTTAATAAATATAATTTATAGGTAATACAAATTTAAAATTCCAAATAATAGGTACCATGTAATACGCACTTACAATAACAGTCAACTTATTTGACATTAAAAATCGCTATATTAGGCATTACTAAGATTCTTGTATAAGGAAAAGTAACGACATTTGCCGCCAAGCATTTACCAAAATCGTCGGTACTTCCAAATTTAATTCAAAAGTCGATACAAAAAATATTCTCGTTCGATAACCCCTGAATATAATGTAGGGATGAAAAGAAACCAGAAAAAGAAAACAGTGTTCTCTGCGCAATGTCTTAGCGTTTTGAATATAGAATAAGTAATAAAGAGTGTACAAACTCCTTTTACGTAACTTTTTTTGTGCAACCGTGTGAATTATTGTGCCTAATAATACTGGCCAGTGAACCTTACGTTCAAGTATTTTTTTTAACGTTTTTCTTTTCTTAAAGTTAGACTACAAAAATTTTATATTTTTTTAAGAAATGACTTTTTCTTTTGTACAAAATGTGAACACAAGATAAAGTTACGAATATTTAAAATCGACTAAAATTAAAATCTAAAAATGCTACATACGGAAGAATGTTGAGGAAAATATTTTAATTATTTAGTCTCAGAAAATATATACCTAATATCTAAATATATAATTTATTACATATTATATTATATTTCAATGACCAATTCTTATTTCACAATAATAATTCACAAACATCAGAAAAGATGTTAAACTTTGAATTAAATTTTGTTTTCATAATAATATGCGGTTTTGTTAATACCTACTTTAAACACCTAAATTGCTCAGGTACTGTAAGATATCAGTAGTTACCTATACAAACATAATATATTAATAATATGTCCTAACTAAATTATTGTAACAATAAAATTAAGTTTAAAATTTATAATCGCTTTAAAATTTTCCATACATATACTTGGGAGTATAGAGAACGACACAATAAATTCACACGAGCAAAATCGCGGGTAAAAGCTAGTTTACCATAATCGAAGTTGAGGCAACGTCTTTGTCATTTCTACGTTCTTAATCTATGTTCATTGTGGTTCACACGGGAATCTGATGGCTTTCTTGAGGGGTTCCATGCTAAAGATTTACCCAGTGTTATTGACAATACTTACACCACCCTAAGCAGTGGTTTAATGGTGTTAAGTATGGAGTTAAATTGTTGTATGTTGACGAATTTATTTATGTATTAGTAATTTTAATGTTTCTTGTAGACCTGATGACATTAATTTAAAGTCCGCAAAAAAAAATATTTTAGGTACCTATACACTGTAAGGCATTGATTGATCGACACGTGTATTATACCGTATCGAGAATCGAGACGTGCATGACATAAAAAAATATTTCTGACAATAAAAAAAAATATTTTGTTTCTTTTTCCAAACTCTTGGACAGACCCCAGCCGCTAATTATATTCCCAAGTTTAAAAAGAAACAAAGTTCTAAATCCAATGTTCACTTGGAAATAAAATCTTTCAATCGAAGACATCTTCAAACTTTTAATTCTGGTACAGTCAACGAAAAAAATCCGCAAAAAAATATCCAAACAATAAACCAAGACGTTGGGTCCAGGTAAGCAAGATGCGAATCCTTAAGAAAACATTACAATAGGTCTCAAATACACTGTAAACTCAACTTTACTCTTCAAACTTTAAGATACAAAATCCCTTCATTACCAGATACAAATGTTACCCGTTTAAAATGTCAATCGTACAAGGAATTTTATACTTTAGCAGCTAAGAATTAGACTTGACTTTCCCATAAGAGTGTCTTTGCCAAAATTTTATACAGGGGGTAGTTTGTGTGAACAATGAAACAGCTGATTCCCACAGTTAACGGTTTTATTTAAAATACTAGTTTTGTTACCAAGCTATGCTTTGAACTTCTTTTGTACAACTTAAGAAAGTCGTACCAAGAAACCAGATTTTGTTATACAATTTTCGATCACCAACCGATTTTGGATCTAATTTTTATAATCGTAAAGAAATTTTTTGAATACGACAAACGAATATCGTACCTACTAAAATATAGTTGTAGCTAGATTGATCCAGCCGTTCCCGAGTTATGCGCTTAGCGACACATTTTCCGATTAAATTCTTTACGTGGCACAGCACTATAAAAATATAACTTATCTATGTGAAAATAAAACTGTTATTCTTAAAACTAGGTTTATTACCTACACTAGTTTACGTGAAGGTAAAACTTTTTCTTTTTGCAATCAGCCCGCATGTGATTAGCATACCCTAAGCGTCAGTACGTTCACCGCGTACTAATACGTCAGTCTGTACGTCGATGGTAATCTACACTTCGATACAATGTTGACCTACAACCATGTATACTGTAACTGGTTCAAAAGATTTTTTTAGTTTTAAACCTAAAAAAAAGTATTTATTCAAATGTGAAATGTGTCTCTTCATTTTCCTACGTGCGCGCTAAATAACTTGGCTGACTGTACTTCGATATTTGCTCATTTTTGATAAAATATATGATATTTTTAGTAGGAACGATTGAAATTAGGAAAACACAGTTAAATCATAATTTTAAGTGGCAACATAATTATTTAAACAAGACTCTTGACTTCCTTCCTGGAAAAAAAATAAATAATGAAAACTAAACCAACAAAATGAAATCACGACGTAAAATCCATACAAAACTAACTAAAGGTCGCTGACCGATCAAATAGAAAAAAAGAAAAAATCATACTCAATTTTTTTTAATGAATAAATATTATAAACAAACTGAAATATACTCAAATTAAATGACATCACGACGCACTTTCTCTAAGCACTAGTCAAAAACACACATCTATTAAATTATATTAATTACTATGATTACACACACTTATGAAGCATGTGGTGTCGAGCCACATGTTTGTAATAGTTCAAGATATCGAAATGTGTATCCCATTGACCGATATCAATATTTTTATGGTCCAATATGACTAATGAGATACAGATATGTATCAATATGACTAACATGTTTAGTCATGGTGGTATTTATCTTCTTGGGAGGTTGCAAACTGATTGTAATGTTTTTGGATCGTCGGATGACAATTATGTATTTTTCAAAAAATCCGAACTCTGTTCCAATCTACAACATTATGCTCATCCAGTGTACTTCTGTAGAACAAAACATAAATTAAATAACTCGAAAAGAAAACTTGAAATTATAATTGTGAACGGTTCACAAAACTGTTTCATTAGTCCTGTCAAAACTGCACAGTGGTTAAATCGGCCGCCGCGCCAGCCAAAAAGACATCTAATTATTTAGACACTTCATTTACTTATTCAATTAGTAATGCTGCGATATCGTGTTGAGTGCCAATTAAAAAATAATAGAAGCCCCCAGTGTGCGAGTGAGAGGAGTGTCACGAGAGGCTTAGAGATGATCCATACACTCATGTGTCAATGAGTGTCGCGTTATTCGCTAATTTTGCTCAATAAGTACTTAGATACGCTTAAAAACAAATGACTAATGCCAAAAATATTAAAAAATATCTTGATAATATTTATAATGTCCATTGATAGACAATAAATCGGTTAATTCGTCATCTTTTTAATTATAAAAAATAATTAAATGTGTTCAAAGTAGTTCTTGACATTTTCGGCCTCTCAAAAGTTTGTAACCCGTTTTCGTAATGAAACGAAACTTTTTTTCGAAACGTAACCCTAAAAAAGCTCATAAAATTACCCCCAGCAACTAGCTCGTCACTTGCAGGAACGTGAAAAACCGAATTAGCTTGTCTGAATGCGAACTCGTAAGTAATTAGCCTCGCGAGACTCTCGATTCGCTCAACTCGCTCTCGTAAGCGAACCGGAGCGAAGATAGCGGAGCGATGCGACGCCGAGAGAGCGAAAATGGCTAATCAAATCCTTTCCCGCTCTCGACGGTATTCGAGGGCTTTTTATTTTCATTGTGCCGTGAAGTGTCACGGTGTAGATACGTACACAGTATGATATACATATAACTCGTTAGTCAAGCTTCATCAACATTTTATTTGTGAACAACTGACTGATTCATTCCCTTTTACTTCCATTTTTCTTTTGACTAACGTATTGTTTTCTGTCTTTGCAGGGAATTCTACTATATCCAGATGGAAAAGTATGCGCGACAGGCCATCAGTGAAGGCCTGAAGACAGCGGAGGACCTGCACGTGGCAGGCGATTCCGAGCTGTACAGGGTGCTCAACTTGCATTACAACAGGAACAACCACATTGAGGTGAGCGTCTCATAAGTCTTGTTTTCATATCTCATTAATTTATACGAGTTTTTTCTTCTGCCAGATAAAATGTTGAGTACTTATGAGTTTAACTAACGGATATGTCTAATATTTCCAGGTTCCACCAAACTTCAGATACGTGGTTGAACAGACACTACGAGAGTTCTTCCGCGCCATCCAAGGCGGCAAGGACGCGGAACAGAGCTGGAAGAAGTCTATCTATAAGGTGATCTCGCGACTGGATGATCCAGTGCCCGAGTACTTCAAATCGCCGAACTTTCTCGAGCAGTTGGAGTGAGCGCGAAATCGACGCGACGCACATTGTTTCGGCAAAAAACTAAATTATATTTAAAAAAACAAATCATTGGACGATTGTTTCGCACACCAAAATTTTACGACACTCGCATTTAGGCCTTCAGATTCAAAATTATTGATAAAAAAAGTTAAATTAAATTATTAAAAAGAAATTTTGGATTTGTACGTTGGACGTCGAGTGGTGCGGCGACGGCCGCGCCACGCACTGCGCTCTACTAGGAAATTCATTAGGTTATACGAGTAAGAGAAAATTTAAGTCACCTAGAATTTTATTTCTGCACATAATATATTTCGCTATATATAATTATTATTATATTATTATTAAGTATTATCTTAAATGGTTTTTATAGTTGTGTATATCTTAAATCATTTATTGATTTATTCTTTAAGGAAAAAAACGATTAATATATTAACTGCTTAAGTTTTGAATTTTTGTTGTTTTTATTTTTTGTTTTTCCTTTGTTTCCTTGTCCTTTGGAACATGTTCTGTTGGTTTCTCCCTGGTAGAAGTTTATGTTGAGGCTCGCCACACGCGGCCGAAAATTGTCAACCTTTACCTCGTCATACTTATTTTAGGAGTAATTAATTAAAGTTAACCATAGTCATTAGTACAATAGAGCAGGGTTATTTTTCGATCCACAAACAAAGAATTTAAAGATTATTTTTATACTGATAGCCGGTTTTATGTTCATGCAGAGAATTTATCAATAGAATAACTATAATGAAGACACAAAATTCGAAAACATTACACATCTTAAGTGACGATTAATGTAAACATCCTTGGTTGTATTTACAATATTTCGGCAATGTTCGGATCGCAAGTTCAGTTGGTCCGGAGTGTCGCTCCGGAGTAGGATTAAGTTTATTTGTTAGATAATACTACTTCCGACACTATGCGCGGCCCCCCACCACGCGAGTGCGGCGCCTCACTCCTCTACACGTTAATAAGGCATTACTTTACCTACTATTACCCATACTCATACACAATATACACATATACCCGATAATGATAAGGCAACTACTTCTTTTTGTTTCAACAATAATATTTCCTTTTTTGACTACTACTACGTTGATTTACCCCACTGTGAGCGCCGTACTCGGCAGGCGGGCGCTCGGCGGCGGCTATCAAGCACATAGACATTTGACCCACACCCAAACAGCAGCAATAGTTGAAGGCAACACAATACAATAGATCCAAGAATCTCAAATTATAAAAATCATCCAAATTCTCAAAATTTCAGATACCTTATTTGGCATCCAACAGTTAAACCCTTTCGCACTGGGCCACATCGTCCGAACAGAAGTGCCTTCAGAAAAATATTGATTTTTTACGAAAAAAAAAAACTAAAAATAAGAAATTAATTACAAAAGGGCCCTCAATAGACCTGACCGCCCAACCGGAGCCGTCGCAGAGCGCCCGCGACCCGCCGCCCGCGCATACACCAGTTCGCCCGTATCGAACGATCAGTATACATACACACTTACTATTATACTATAGAAGAATAATTAGTTTGATTCGTAGATAATATGTAGCGCGACGAGCTCGACTCTTGTTCCCTGACCACTGGCGAGAGAGACTTGGCTGAGACATGAGACACTGCGTGCAGTGAGAGTGAGGACGAGTACCGCGGGTCAGGAAGCAAGCTCGAGCGGGCTCGCAATCTCGATGTATTTGTTATATCATGTAGTTGCCGGCCGGCATCCCGCCACGCGGTCACTGTTTCAGTTCCCATCCTCAGTTGACAGACACAAACAGATATACAGATAATTTCGCTTCTCAAATAGTTATAACACGATAAGATAGATAGTTGTACAGAAATGTATAGCCATTTGTACATAATAACGATAGTTTTAATACAGATGAGATAATATCGAGTAACTATCTTAGCGGTAATGGTATTTAATTAAGAGACAATAGAAACTGGAAATACTCTATTGTTTTGCATAATGTACAGAATGTTTATACCATCCTAATTTGTATGTAAGTAACCGCGCGTGAGGTCGGCCGGCCCTAGCTAAGCAAGTAAGCATATTTCATTTGATATTACACGTTTGTTATCGTTTCATTTGTAACCATTTTGAACTATTACGATAATATAAGAGTACCTCAGTTTAGGATGGACCAGGCGTCGACTGGTGTGCTTAGTAGCTCAGGTTAGGTGACAGTTAGAGATACACAAGTTTTTAAGACATCGACACAGATAAACACGCAGCCTCCCCCCTTGTTCGGAAGACCGGTTTTTATTTCTAAATTAGTCCCCCGACGTGTTCCACGTCTCCACAGCACCTCTCAGACAATAGCCCGGGTTCAGTTTCCACGATTCGCGCCAGTACGTCAGGTACTCAGTCGTCGCTGGGCTTATTCGAGATCGAGCAACGTTCCGTGTTACGTTTACGATTGTATTTTGTTACAAGTTGTTTGTTTCTCCGTAACATAGGCACTGCCGCTTTAGAGCTGACCAGTGAACGAATCTGAATTGAGTAAAGGAATTGATGACTTGCTCCCCTTAGCACTAGATTCAGTAAGAACTAGCGGTTTGGTAGTATCGTCTTGTAGTCACGGAGGACTCGTCAGCTCTAAAGCGACATTTACCAATTAATTCCTTGTATAGTATGTAATGAATTCGTTATTCCGATCTCTCCATAGATTTCTTCATATCTAATAGAAGTGTTACGCAGGCTACACACACATATTACAATAGAAATGTATTGGTTTCCTATCAACAGTTATCAACCGACATGCCGTTATTTGCAGATACTTGGAGCCGTATTAAATGTTTAACAATATTGTTTCAAGGTCAAAACTCAATATTATGTACTTTTTATTGTTTTTTAATTAAACAATTTTTGTCCGGATTTTATACTTGAGTGACTCACTGTGCAATATAACAAGACCACAATGGATATAACATGCGATCGAGCCGATTTTTTAAAATTTATTCGATGTTCAATTATTTGTAAGTTATCGGTTGACAATTTTTCTAAATTTATTAAAAAAAAATTAAGACTCAAGTTTGAAACATCGAAATATTTAGTCCACAGTGATCATGGGGGCTAATCCCACAGAAAAAGTACAAAATTCGGTGTTGACTTTAAATCTCATGTTTGTATCTATATATAATAATAATATGTATGTAGATTTATTGAAATTGCCCGTTTCGGCGTCATTTCTCATTGTTTTCATAATATTATTTATCTAGATAATAGTTTATTTATGTTTGACTAAAATGTACTAATCTAAAGTTTTTGCTTTACACTTTTAGTATTTTGGAATCCGTCTACGAAAATGTTTGGATTAACAATGTAAAATGAAATAAATATTGTAATTATTTTCAAAATTAATTATAAATAAAAAAAAACAATATATGTAGAAAGTATTCGGTTTCACGTTTGGGTATTATGGTTCCTAAATTTTCGAAATTGTAATAGACTCTATTGTATGTAGCGTTTCATTTTTTGGAGGTTAGGACATTTAGATGTACCAAATAGCTGTATCAACTTTTCTATACGTGAAAAAATCAATAAGGAAAATTGCTGAAGTTTAGGTAGTTATGGAAATAAGTATCATTCTTAATAATATATATGTATATTATCTCATAAAAATGACAAAAATTGAGCACGGATATACTATTAGGATGTCTTGAAACAAATACTGCCGACGCTTATCAATAAAATTTAGTGAGATAAGCTCGAATACCCAATGTATTAGTATGTGAACACTCGCCCACTACTCGGGACTTGGCGTTCATTGTTTTATATTCGAGGTTAACCATACTGTAGTGGGTTTCAAACAATATTTTAAATATCCTTGTGGTCTTCATTGGTAACAGCGATACACGTTCAGTTCTGTATTGTGTGTTCGTACGTAATGTGTTAATTTAGTTTGGTGAGCCACAGTCCATAATGTGGCGACATTTTTATAATATATTTGTAAACTATAGCGAGCGGACGCGGACGCCAGTGATAAAATTAGAGACAAAATTTAAAAAAAATACAAAATTATTTTTGATAGTGACGCAATACTTTTTGTTCACATCACGACCGATTTCGGCCCACTATGGTCGTGCACTGGACAAAAGGTGATGTGCCATTAATAAAATTGAAATTTGACTAGTGTTTAGGCGTCATTTCGGTATCCTCGCATTTCGGCTAAGTGTTAAGTGCCCGCGTCCGCTTGTTTTGATATATTTAGTACAAATTTCATGATGTTAAGGTAACGAGGCTCAAAGCTTTTCTTTTGTGGCGCCCGCGCACCCGCCCCCGGTACGCGCCTACGATATTAATGAGTCGTGTATAAAATTTTATTCAAAAAGAGTATTTTTGTATTGAATATTTCTAAAGTTGGTGTAAAGGTCAAAATTCATAAATTATAGCGGTGACAAAAAGGGACATTAGGTAAATTTAGAATGTCATGCGTTTTTTGTATTTAATTTTAAGAATAGCGTCGGATATAAAACGTTTAGGAGCATTAACCATTTGTAAATAAAAAGTTGAGCGGCGCGGCTGAGGGGCGGCGGCGCGGCCGGCCAGTTATATAGGTAAAAAAATATATAAATAACTCAAAGATGTTTATATGGTTCTGGATGTAAAAAAGATAAATTTAAAGCAATTTTAAGGTGAAAAAATGTGGAAAAAATTGTAAACGATTCTTCGGTACTTATTTGTGTTAGAATGGCTGATAGCGGGTCACTATTGTAATCTGTGGGCCTCAGACAAGTTGTAAACCTAATGTCAGGAAAGTAACCTAACCTAACTACGCATTAATTATTACGGTTCTTAATACTACAACAATACTTATACATTAATATAATATCACATTGTCATAATGCTTATTATTTACGAGCGTGTGTCTTTGTCCGTGAATGTTTAGGACCTAACCACTGTTCGATGTACTAGACATAAGTGGACATTTTTGTGAATGGAAAAATGTATGAAAAATTATCAAAATTGAGTGTTCCGACCGCGGTCGGCCGCTCGTTGCAA